TTACAAATCTATATATTATACATATTTCATGTTGCTTTCTATATGTTATACATAATAAATTCTACATTACTTCTCTATAGTATATATAATACATTCCATGTACATATATGTGTACATAAAATACAACCTGTGTTGCTTTCAAGATTGTCCTGTTTGCCTGTTTTCTTCTAAATATTCTTCTGTTCTTCTCTATGTATGAAAAAATATACATTTCAGGGCAGCTAGATGGCACAGCGGATAGAGCACGAACCCTGGAGTCAGGAGGAACTGAGTTCAAATCAGTCCTCAGACACTTGACACTTACTAGCTGTGTGACCCTGGGCAAGTCACTTGACCCCATTGCCAGGCGCCCCCCCCAAAAAAATATATGTATGTATATATATATATATATTTCAATGTCCCTTTTCTGGGCATTCCCTTGACTTGCCCCCTACTAAAAAACAATAGAGAGTAAAAACAAACAAACCCTTTTAATAACATAATCAAGCAAAACAAATCCAGAAACAGCCATGTCTAAAAATACATTTCTCTTCTCGTACCTTGAATCCATCATCTCTCTGTCGGGAGGCAGGTAATTTGCTTCATCATAGTTCTCTGGAGATGTGGTTGGTCATGATATTGATCAGAGTTCTTGTCTTTCCAAGTTGTTTTTCCTTATAATGTTGTATCCAATGTTCTCCTTGACCTGCTTCTTTCCCTCTGCTTCCATTCGTACCACCCAGGATTCTCTGAAATTGTCTCTTTTTGGACAGCCAAGTGGTGCAATGGTTAGAATGCTGGACCTGGAGTCAAGAAGACAGGATTTTAAATTCAGCCTTAGATGCTTACTAGCTATCTGATCCTGGGCAAATCATGTAACCTCTGTTTGCCTCAGTTTCCCCATATATAAAATGGGAATTATAATAGCACCTACATCCCAGAGTGGTTGTGAGGATCAAATGAGATAATAATTAAAAAGCACTTAGCACAGTGCTTGGCACGTATATGCTGTATAAATGTTAACTATTATTAATTTTCATGTTACAGTTAATATTCCATCATATCCATACATCACAACTTCCACATCCACAACATTACAAGCCATTCCTCAAAGGATGCCCACCGCCACCGCTGGCACCACCACTTAGACTCTAGTTCTTTGTTTTTCTTTTTGTTTTCTATTTAATTGCCCCTTTGGGATCAGAAAGTTTATTTTGTTTGCTACTGTTCCCTGTGTCTTCACTTGCCCCTTCCTATCCCTACTTGAGTATGATATATGTCCACACCAAACTGAGCGTATTCATGTGTATGTTGAAATAGAAAATCAATAGAAGTCTGTGTATTCAAATCTACTTTGCACTCTCTAGATAAGAATGGAGTTCATCTGAAGTCTGTACTCCCTTCCCCTTCCTCTATATTTGAATATACTTCACACACCCCAACTATAAAAATAAGTAAGTTACTATCCCCTTTTTTGTCCTTTCTCCTCAAGCATATACTTCCTTTTACCCTTCCTTTTCTTTGTCTTCTTAAAACCCTTAGAATAGAATTAATCTTTTTTAACTCTCTCAATATCCTTGAAGCCATTAAGGTTCTGAAAAGACACTGGTTTCTTCTCCTACTATTAGAATGCCATTGCTATATCATCATCAAGTTCCTTCTGATTGCTCACATAAATTTACATTCTTACATGTCTTTTATCCTTGTATTAGTCTTTTCACCATAAATGTTTGAGATTTCTCTATTGCATTAAAGGTCTGCTCCACCCCCACCCCCCACTTAGGATTATGGTTATAGAGCCTTTTGTCTTTTACAACATTGTATTCCAAAGTCTCCTGTGGCTTTTTGTAGAAGTTGGTGGGTCTTTTGAGATCCTGCCTGTGGTATTTTTTGTTCTTAAACTCCTTTCTGGATGCTTTCGTTGTTTTTAATTTGATGTGGACTCTGGATTTTGGTTATGAAATTTCTAAAACTTTTCGGGGGGGTTCTTTCAGGAGGTAATCAGTGTCTTCTATCTTCCTTTTGGTTCTAACAGATTTGGGAAGTTTTTATTTATGATTTTTTGAAATATAGTGTCCAAGCTTTTTTTTTAATCATGGAGGAGTCCAATGACTCTTAAATTATTTCCCCTTGAGCTGGGTGGTCTGCTTCCTTTCCAACAGCCATCTTGGCTGGAATTGAAAAGCTTTGCCTGAAATTCAGATAATAAATGTCCATCCCCCCTGTCAACCGATTACTCTTACAACCTAATTAGTATTGAATTTTAACGTTTTTAATAAACAAATTAAAATACACTAGAGTTCTTGGAAGATTTTCAAATAGATTAGAAAATTCTGGTTCTAAGGTTTTTTTAATTATACAGATATGAGAGTTTTTATAGGTGGAATAAATCAGCTGGGGCAATAAAAGCTTAATTTTTTAAATTTTTAAAAATTTTAAAGGCTTTTTACTATTACTGTAACTCTGCCTTAGAGAACCTTTCTCACAGAGACCACAGATATTATTTCTGCATTTATAAAAGGGTATTGACTTTTAGTGAGATTTGCAGATTAAATGGCTTCT